CATGTAACTGTCTAGTCTTCCCAGCACCATTTATTGAATGGACTGTCTTTACCCCATTGTATGTTTTTACCTCCGTTGTCAGGTATTAATTCTCTATAAAGGTGTGGGTTTATTCCTGGGCTGTCCATTCTCTTCATTGATCTATATGTCTGTTTTTTTATGCCAGTGCCATGCTGTTTTGATTACTATGGCCTTGTAGTAATCTAAGGTTGATGTAAGATAGGGAAATTCCTCCCACTTTTTCAAGATTGCTGTAACAATATGGGGTCTTTTGTTGTTCCAAACAAATTTTTGGAATAATTCTATGAAATATGCCATTGGTATCTTGATAGCATGCCTTTGTTTTTAAAGATATATAATTCAGCCGAAACCGGTTTGGCTCAGTGGATAGAGCGTCGGCCTGCGGACTCAAAGGTCCCAGGTTCGATTCCGGTCAAGGGCATGTACCTGGGTTGTGGGCACATCCCCAGTAGGGGGTGTGCAGGAGGCAGCTGATCGATGTTTCTCTCTCATCGATGTTTCTAACTCTCTATCTCTCTCCCTTCCTCTCTGTAAAAAATCAATAAAATATATTTTAAAAAAAAGATATATAATTCATATATACAATTATTCTCCCTTAAATTAATTCTTTTTTAACTTAATAAAAAATTACATAGTAATTAAAAATGAAATTTTGGAATGAAAGGAAAGTAGTTTTACATATATTTGATAAAAATGGATTATCTGAATATGATTATAATAATACTTTATATTCTATTACAGGATTAATTAAAAGAATTTACCACATATTTTATGACTTTTTACTGGAACATTGAGAGATAGGTAAGTGACAAGCATTTTTTGAAGAAATATTTCTGAAAATAATTTGATCTAACAGTTTCCTGACAAAGTGAGCAATGGAGATTTACCTCTTTTCTTCTCAATGAAACATTAATAGAAATGTCATGTTTACATTAATTGTAATGTAACATTTTCCTATCATCCAATAAATCATATTTTCCAAGGATCTGTATTTTTATAATAATTATAATTAGGACATTGATAATAAGACACACAAGATTAGCATGTTCTAAAACTTAAAGCACTAAAAACATGTCATTAAATGCAATGTGGTACCATACATTGGATCTTAGAACTGATAATAGACATCTGTGAGGAAAATCCAAATAAAGTCTGTAGCTTAGTTAATAGCAATGTACCAATGTTAGTTTCTTAGTTTTGATAAAGCCATGGTTATGTAAGATGTTAACTGTAGGTGAAACTGGGTGAAGGGTATATAAGTTATTTGTAATATCTTTGCAACCTTTCTGTAAATCTAAAATTATTCCAAAACAAAAATTTATTTAAAGCAGAAAAATATCAAGGTTTATTGATTTGAAATTATAGTTTATAAGTGACTTTTCTGTGTAGTAGTTTGAAAAATTAAAATTATTAATTATCTTTTTAAAAATCCGAATTTCATGAAATAGAGATATAGGGAAATATGTGACTATAGGTTTCATAAGAGGTGTGGGACTTTATTTTTTGGATAGTGGTATGGTACCCATGAACATCTCCTTGTACTTGGCTACAGCTTTGCTCTGAGTCCTTCCAGGTACTTGTGTGTTCTTCAGTAGTTTAGTACAGCACTTTCTGTTATCACAAGCAGGCCCTTTAAATGGTTTCCAGAACACTGTTTTCTTTTTTTAATGTACTGTTAGCGGCAAAAAGACTAGTGATGTGACTCAGTGGTTTGGAGTTGAGACTCTCTTAGTGTAGTTTGGTTCAGTCACACTTATTTGAGCTTGTAGATCAAGTACTAGATACAGATGACCTGTTGTTGTTAAAGATCATGAATAAAGATGAGTGTAACTCTTAAATAACCATTTCTATAATTGCACTAAAATAATTTATCAGTTTCCAAAATGAACTCTAGCAGTATAACTCTTTTAAATTTCTATAAATATTAAAAGAGTATAAGAAGGGAACTCTGAAACTATTACATAACTTTTCATTTATAAAAGTAAAATAGCCATGCTGGCCTTATAAATGGTTTCCTGATTCTATTGCCAACTTTAATGATTTTAGTTAAACTTAAATTTCATACAGGGAAATAGAAATACACTATACTTAAAGGATATAGACATTTACAACAAGAGACCTGGTCCTGAATGATTCTTACAGAATAATTGTTAGGCTTGGAAAGTTCTGTTTTTGCTTGATATTTATTTAGAATTGTTATCAATCTCATGTTAATAGAATTCACACCTTTACTTCTTAGTTGTGTAACATAACTGTGCCAACCTTGGTAAAGAAGTTTAGAAAAATGGAGAATTTTTTTTTTCAGGATAGTTTAAATGTTATTGATTATATACCAGTTTATACAACTAAAAAAACCCAAATACCCTTTTTATCATTCTTCTATGTTAGAGGAGCATTAAAAGTGTTGCTTTTAGAGACATGCTTTATCATTCAGCTGACTGTCACTTTATGATAATCTAAAGTATAAATGAGAATAGCTAATATGTGTTGAGCACTTTCTATGTACCAGGCACTTTATTTACAATGATCTCATTTAATCTTCACAAACACCTATGAGATGTTTAGAATTCCCTGTATAGCTGAGACTGAGAGAGTAACAGATGTCTTCAGGCTAACCCTGGGGTATGGGGCAGAAAGAACAAGTGCCCCTGGTGGCTGTACCTATAGTTTGGTTCATAATGTTACCAGCTTCCAGGAAATCCTGAATCCTTGGACGCATGGTAAACTTCAGATACTTTAGTTCAGCGGTTCTCAACCTGTGGGTTGCGACCCCTTTGGGGGTCGAACGACCCTTTCACAGGGGTCGCCTAAGACCATCGGAAAACACATATAATTACATATTGTTTTGTGATTAATCACTATGCTTTAATTATGTTCAATTTGTAACAATGAAAATACATCCTGCATATCAGATATTTACATTATGATTCATAACAGTAGCAAAATTACAGTTATGAAGTAGCAACGAAAATAATTTTATGGTTGGGGGTCACCACAACATGAGGAACTGTATTAAAGGTTCGCGGCATTAGGAAGGTTGAGAACCACTGCTTTAGTTCTTCTGGATAAAAGGATGTCTGATCACACTCGGTAACCCAGATTAGATTTTTCCATTGGGTAACTAGTCTGGAGTACAATCTCCTATTCTCTGTTTCAACCTTGATCTGGCTCATTCTGCAGTTCCCTAATATGTCAGTTGTTCTCTGTCACCTGATTAATTGCTGAATACTCACTTACTGTGTGCTTCATTGATCATATGCCAAGAACTTTTGGCAGCTCTGGGGAATATGATCTCAATGTGTCTCCTGGTCAGTGTTGAGCAACTAGAAGTTGTTAGTTGGGGTGAGTACTTGGATCCAGAAGTTAGGATACATGCCAGAGGTTAGGGATAGAACAATTGAGCAGCTGACACATAAAATGCAGCTATCCAGACTCAGTCAATAGGCAGGTGTCAGAAATAGAATAGGCACATGACTTTGGAAGGTGGTTTTTGAAGAAGATTGTGATGACTGGCTATGGACTTCATAGTTTGTAGATATAAAATAATATCAATAGCTTTTTGAGTAAGAATAAGTTAGCAACTTATTCATTATAGTGCTTATTACGCTGAACAGAAATCTCTCTCTGTAACTTCCCCATTTAGCTATGTCTTTCTGTCGTTCTAAATCTCTAGTCCCTCTTACACTTGAAAACATAAAATACATATAAAATTTCCCTTGCTATCTCCTCTTCTTTATGTTCTCCAAAAGTTGGCATTCTTCAGGGCCCAGTCCTTGGCCACCGTCTACGTTTATTCTCTATGTGATCTCATGTGGTCCTTTGCTTTAAATGCCACCTGTCCTCCCAGACTTACTTCTTTGCCTTGATCTCTCCCATGTATTCAAGGCTCATTTCTATGTCTGCCTAGCCAAGATCTCTTTTTGAAAGTCTAATAAACATTTCAAACTTAACATGTTTGGAATAGAACTCTTGAACTCCCCTCCCAAATCCTGTTTCTGCCTCCTACTCCTTCATCTCAGTAAATGATCCACCCAGTTGCTCAGGTTAAAAACTAGATCTTTGACTTTTCTCTTTTCTTCTTAATCAACATCCAGCCCATCAGTAAGGCTTATATGTCATCCTTTCCAAATATATCCCAAATCCCCCTTTACTACTGCCACCCCACTACTACTTGAATATAACTTATAATCACCATTATACATTCCTAGATGATAGTAATAACTGGCCTTCCTTATCTCCTCCTTGAACCTCTCCAGTCAGTTATCCATGTAGGAACAAAAGTGTTTTGTGTTTTTTTTTTTAAATGTTAAGCAGTTGCTGTCAATCCCCTGTTCAGAACCCTTTAGTGGCTATCCATCACATCAGTATAAAACCCAAGTCTCACCATGTTTTACCAGACCCTACATGCTCCTTGCTGATTTTATATCCTACCATTCTGTCTTACTCACTTTGTTCTAGCCACAATTGCTTTCTTGCTTTTCTTTAAATTCTCCAAGTCCATTTAGAATCAGCTAAATCTCTCCTACTCCCCTACCTTACACCATCATTCTAAATAGTCCAGCCTCTAGCCTTTTACCAGTGGAGGTAGATTTAAAGAGAAGAAAAGTACATATGCAAAGCTTTTTAAGCACAGAGACCCTAGTACAGTGATGGTCAACCTTTTGAGCTCGTGTGTCAGCATTTTGAAAAACCCTAACTTAACTCTGGTGCCATGTCACATATAGAAATTTTTTGATATTTGCAACCATAGTAAAACAAAGACTTATATTTTTGATATTTATTTTATATATTTAAATGCCATTTAACAAAGAAAAATCAACCAAAAAAATGAGTTCGCATGTCACTTCTGACACGCGTGTCATAGGTTTGCCATCACTGCCCTAGTAGGAGAGGTCATACTATAAATGTTGTGGTTTTATTATTCCAAGTTTCTGTCATGTGAATTGGTTTCAAGTGTAAGAGGGTTTGGAGATTTTGTGCTACAGAAAGACATAGCTAGATCAGTGGAGAGAAGTTACAGAGAGAGATTTCTACTCAGTTTAATGAGCACTATAATGAATACATTGGTAATAGTCACATCGGCATGAAAATAGGCTGGAGTGCTTCATAGGACAGTGCCTTCTTGCTTTTCTTTGGAGTGTACAAATTGGGGTGATCCCCTTATGGAATGTAGTGGAGGAAAACTATTTTGAAGTGGAGAAGGGGACAGTTGATTTCTTAAGATCTTCCTAATGCTGAGATGATATCTTTTAGAATATTTTTTTCAGAGTAATTATTTTTAATGTCTTCTCAGATTAATCTGCTGGTATTTATATTGGAAGTTTTACCAATTTCACCAATGAAGTATAAAGCACTTCTAGGTGAAGTTTCCAATATTTGAGATGAAAGAAGAGCTAATATCAAGGTTGATTTCCAATCAGATTGGCCAAGTCCTCATCTAAGGAATTTATTACTTTGAGGCATTTTGTTCTCTCATTTTTATATAAAACTTATTTTGATTGATTTCAGGTCTAAAATAAGCAATATGTACATACTAGACAAGTTCCCTAGTAGATTTTAGTTATTAAGTAAAATTTTCCTGAGTTGTAGAAGTAAGGAATATGATATTTGAAAATAGCCTTTGGTCAGATTTTGCTAGCAATGGAAAATTCACCTCATCCTTAGCCTTAAACCAGAAGCACTTTGAGAAGTAGTGACTATGGATGTTTCATTGAGGGTGAAATAGTCATTTCCTTATCTTATATTACAAAGGCAAAAATAATGATTTAAGTAATAGAGAACTTAAAGTTATAAATGCTTTC